AGGGGCGAAAATGTAATAATAACAGTAATAATAATAATTAGTTCATAGTAAATTAAATTTATAATAAAAAATAAAAAAATATAAATACTAATAATAACAATAATAATAATAACACTAATAATAATAAAAAATAATAATAATAATAATAATGAACCATAAAGAAATACAAAAATGAAAAAAGATCAAGAGTGAGAATCAATATATGTGTTGTGTTGTCAAAGTAAGAGAAACAATTGAGACCCTGCAATTGTGTGTAAATGAGGCAGAAAGTCAGATAAACAACCAGGGACTTGGTCACAATTTTCGTGATGCCATATGGTAGCAGCAGGATCTACCATTAGACATTACATTATGCTTCCAATATCTTCCCAGGCGGTAGTACCTTCCTGTTTGATAGCTGCCGACTACCTACTACCTAGGTCCGGTCCTAGTTAGTAGGTGTGTGTGATCTCTCTCTCTCTCTCTCTCTCTCTCTCTCTCTCTCTCTCTCTCTCTCTCTCTCTCTCTCTCTGTCTTCACCCATCCACTCCCCACAGACACATTCACATTTTTCCCCATTTTCGGCATAGTAATCTGGTTCAGCTCACACCCTCTCTTTTAAACACCCACCCACACACTCATTCATCCACCCACCCACCCAGTCAGAAGAGAAAACAACAATTAACTCCAACATTTCTGTCATTAAAAAAACTCGACAATATTCAATCACAAATCATTATACAGTGAAATAAAATAAATAAAATACTGCCCCGTTTAACAATATTTTCACACAGAGTTAATTACAATAAACTTCTCTTGGTTTTTTTTTTTTGGGGGGGTGACGAGTGTATTTTTTTTATCACAGTATAAAAGCCGCTTAACAGGAGTGAGTGAGAAGGAGGGGAGACGGGGTCGTTGTCTATACTAGGACAAGAGACAGTTGGTTGTACGTATATAATAAATGTTTGTTTTGATATGTAAAGGAGTGTTACTAAGGGAAGGAGGAGAAATAGTGAGGATAGGTATACATGTTGTTAGTTTCCTGGTGAGGGTAGGTACATGTTGTTAGTTTCCTGGTGAGGGTAGGTACATGTTGTTAATTTCCTGGTGAGGGTAGGTACATGTTGTTAGTTTCCTGGTGAGGGTAGGTACATGTAGGTATATTCGTCAAAAAAACATATCACCATAATTTCTCAAAACAAATGGAAAAACGACCCAAATTTAGTCATGTAATAGTGGGGCCCGCGTGTCTGAATAAATACATTAGCTAATTAAAATGTACACTCAACTCAGGGTGTGGGGTTTGGGGGCGTGGTATCTGGTAAACAACATTGGAATTAGGTTGTGTTAATCGCGTTTTATACTTGTAAAAATATTCTTGTACTGTAATTAGGTTAAGAATGGTTAGGTCAAAAATGCTCTCTTGTTTGGGAGAAAAAATGCATTCCCGTGTTAATGATTTAAAATTCATCATTTTTTTTAAATTGGTATAAAGTACAACCATTGACTTCTGTGTGGTGTCGGTGGTGGTGTGTGGTGAGGTGATGGTGTGGTGTATGGTGATGGTGGTGGTGTGTGGTGATGGTGGTGGTGTATGGTGATGGTGGTGGTGTGTGGAGGTGATGGTGTGTGGTGTTGGTGGTGGTGTGTGGTGAGGTGATGGTGTGGTGTGTGGTAATGATGGTGGTGGTGTGTGGTGATGATGGTGGTGTGTGGTGGTGGTGTGTGGTGATGGTGTGTGTGGTGAGTGATAGTGTGGTGGTTTGTGGTGATGGTGGTGGCAGTTTGTGGTGATGGTGGTGGTGTGTGTGGTGTTGGTGGTGGTGTGTGTGGTGATGGTGGTGGTGTATGGTGATGGTGGTGGTGTGTGGTGATGGTGGTGGTGGTGTGTGGTGATGGTGGTGGGTGTGTGGTGATGGTGGTGGTGTGTGGTGAGGTGATGGTGTGGTGTGTGGTAATGATGGTGGTGTGTGGTGTGTGGTGATGATGGTGGTGTGTGCTTTGGTGATGGTGTGTGGTGATGTGGGTGTGGCGAGGTGATGGTGTGTGGTGTTGAGGTGATGGTGTGGTGTGTGGTGATGATGGTGGTGTGGTGTGTGGTGATGGTGGTGGTGTGTGGTGATGGTGGTGGGTGTGTGGTGATGGGTGGTGGTGTGTGGTGAGGTGATGGTGTGTGGTGATGGTGAGGTGAGGTGTGTGGTGATGGTGATTGTGTGTGGTGATGGTGGTTGTGTGTGGTGATGGTGATTGTGTGTGGTGATGGTGGTGGTGTGTGGTGAGACGATGTGTGGTGTATGGTGAGATAGTAGGGTGTGTGGAGAGGTAGTAGTGGTGAGGTGATGGTGGTGATAGTGGTGGTGGAGTGGTGATGGAATGTTTTTCACCTGGTGACCTTGCTATAGCGCACCAGGATCCACACCTTCAACAACATTAGTGCACGGTGCGGTAGAGACTATATAACTATCCGCTTCCTACTATTTGCTTCCTATTATCCACTTCATGCTATCCGCTTCCTGCTATCCACTTCCTGCTATCCGCTTCCTATTATCCACTTCATGCTATCCGCTTCCTGCTATCCACTTCCTGCTATCCGCTTCCTGCTATCCACTTCCTGCTATCCGCTTCCTGCTATCCACTTCCTGCTATCCGCTTCCAACATACCTTTAAGAATTAATCCAATACTGTACTGTGGGTGACCAAGAAACACACAAGATAAAACTTTAATTGTTCCAGCATGGCCGACCTAACCTAACCTAACCTTATGGCTAACTGGGTGTGGATGCTGACCCGAAGCTACCGTTGACACACCAGCCACACCCTGCTGACACGGTAAAGTTATCAAGGGATAATCTAGGAAGTCCCCACACACACACACACACACACACACGTGGCCCGGGGCTCGAACCCATGGCCATTCGCTTTCGAGGCGTGTATAATGACCACTAGACCACAGGAAATGACCACTGCTATTTTCGTTATCTCGTTTACGCTGCTGAACTTTAAACAGTCAAAAGGTTTCACGATGCTATAAAGTTCTTCGGGCGAAACTTATCTTACAAGTATATAATAGATAACTTTTACAACATTAGCAAATATGAGAGATTCTGAGGTAACAGATCAATTCTCACGTAACGTTTTTCAGCATTTACGGGCAGGAGCAGTGGTGGACGGAGCAGTAGTAGTGGTGGACGGAGCAGGAGCAGTGGTGGACGGAGCAGGAACAGTGGTGGACAGGAGCAGAGATGGTAGTTGGTGGACGGAGCAGGAGCGGTGGTGGACGGGCAGGAGTGGTGGACGGAGCAGGAGCGGTGGTGGACAGACAGGAGGTGGTGGACAGGCAGGATTAGTGGTGGACGGAGCAGGGCGGTGGTGGACGGAGCAGGAACAGTGGTGGAGGGCAGGAGCAGTGGTGGACGGAGCAGGGATTAGTGGTGGACGGGCAGGAACAGTGGTGGACGGAGCAGGGAAGGGTGGGACGGAGCGGGGAGTGTGGGTGGGGCAGGATTAGTGGGGGACGGAGCAGGGAGGTGGGACAGCAGTGAGTGGTGGACGGGCAGTGTGTGGTGGATGGAGCGGGCAGTGGTGGACGGGCAGGTTAGTGGTGGACGGGCGGAGCAGTGGTGGACGGAGCAGTTTGGTGGACGGGCAAGTTAGTGGTGGACGGAGCAGGAACAGTGGTGGACGGAGCAGGAGCAGTGGTGGACGGAGCAGGAACAGTGGTGGACGGAGCAGGATTAGTGGTGGACGGAGCAGGAACAGTGGTGGACGGAGCAGGAGCAGTGGTGGACGGAGCACAACCCGTAACAATACGTCTAACACAATCAGATAATTCTAGATTGTGTTCCAGTGGTGTTCTATATTTCCTTTAGACTGACTGACAACATGTACACAAACTGATGTTCAAGTATTGTGTTAATTATAATTATATAAAACCAACTTACATAACATGTGATTAATTATTATACCCAGCCAATCTTCAGCGACTATATGTGATAATTAAAAACACACATTTGAAGTATATAATAATTTAATGTGACGTCACTAATAAACAATCGAGCATCGGTTCTCTGGCTGTGGTGACGTCACTAATAAACAAGTGAGCATTGGTCCTCTGGTTGTGGAGACGTCACTCATAAACAAGTGAGCATTGGTCATCTGGTTGTGGAGACGTCACTCATAAACAAGTGAGCATTGGTCCTCTGGTTGTGGAGACGTCACTAATAAACACGTGAGCATTGGTCCTCTGGTTATGGAGACGTCACCAATAAACAAGTGAGCATTGGTCCTCTGGTTGTGGAGACGTCACTAATAAACAAGTGAGCATTGGTCCTCTGGTTGTGGAGACGTCACTCATAAACAAGTGAGCATTGGTCCTCTGGTTGTGAAGACGTCACTCATAAACAAGTGAGCATTGGTCCTCTGGTTGTGGAGACGTCACTAATAAACAAGTGAGCATTGGTCCTCTGGTTGTGGAGACGTCACTAATAAACAAGTGAGCATTGGTCCTCTGGTTGTGGAGACGTCACTCATAAACAAGTGAGCATTGGTCCTCTGGCTGTGGCGGTGAATGTGACCACCACTTGCTGGCGTCTCTGAGTGTGTGTGTGTGTGTAAATAATAATAATAATAATAATAATTAACGGTTTATTGAAAGAGCTTGGCAGTCAGAAGGCTGAAAATATACAGTTACATATTTGGGGAATGGGTTTCGAATTACAAATAATATACAAGTAACATAAGTGACACAAATAAGATATATAATAACTAGATGGGGAAAAGCTCATACTACAGTTCATTTCAACATAGTGATAGTGCAAGGAGTAGTGTTTACTGGGAATGAATACACTGGTTTATTACAAGTTATTGATAATTTTTACAATGGTTGGGACTGGGCTGTTCTTATAGCGATCAGTTCGTGCACGTATGGGCTGGATGCGGTTGTGGTGTCGAACAGCAATTCTCGGACTAGGGATCTCAGGTGGTAGTAGGAGCTGGTGTCGAGGATGGTGTAGAAGCTTCTTACCAAATTTGCAGATGAGGTCGTGGTGATGGTCAGTGAGAGTCGAAAGGGTCAGTGTGTTGAGCGCTTCTTGATATGTGGAGTAGGAAGGGGAGAGAATAATCTTGCATGCCCTCTTTTGCACTTTTTCTAGGTGTTTACGTTGTGTGGCATTTAGGGAGGAAGACCAGGTGGGGGAGGCATAGGTGAGCTTGGGAAGTATGAATGTTGTGTAAACACTGTGTGTGTGTGTGTGTGTGTGACCGTCTCAACAACGCTCAACATTTCGTTTCGTTCACTACATTTTTTTCCCCTGGGCCAGAAATACCCCAACAACATTGACTTATTCAGCTACAAACTCAGCATAAACTCTTACTGACATTTTGAGAAATTTAATCGTGGGATCTAAATAAACATCAAGTTTCATTAGTGGTAAAAAACTAACTTATAAATCATTAAAAAAATTGGATCTGTGGATAAAATGTTTATAGTCACGTAAGGTTTTTTCTCTTAAGTTAATCACATCTTCAGGAACTTGGGCAAAAGAACAAAGTCTCAGGTGTTTGTTTATTTACTGTGTAATTACTTGTTTTCCTTCAACTGGACGTAAGTAAACATCTGTTGTTGTATGTCTAGTTATGGGAAAATTATCGACCAATGGTGAGACTCGTAGGTTGTGTGTAGTTGAGGTGTGAGGTGGGTTGTGTGGTGGTGAGGTGGGTTGTGTGGTGGTGAGGTGGGTTGTGTAGTGGTGAGGTGGGTTGTATGGAGATGAGGTGGTTTGTGTGGTGGTGAGGTGAGGTGGGTTGTGTGGAGATGAGGTGAGGTGAGGAAGGTCCTGGTTAATACTGCCTCCCAGCACGCTGCTCCTCACCCCTCTCCTCCCTAATTGATGGCTCCTGCCGTGTAGTACAGTGCCCAGGTGTGTGTCTCAGGTGTTGGTGACGGGTTAAGCCACAGGTCACGGCCAGGCTTCTTCAAATCATTAATTATACAATATCATTAACTATCTACTTAATTTCTTTATTCCTACTTTAACTTTATTCTTTGCTTTATCTTCTCATGATAAACCCCGCCTGAAGATCTTTATCAGTGCCCATAATCGACTCTTGTTAATTCGTTCCTACGCCTATACAAAGTATCTTAACAGAGAGGATCGATGAATTTCAGAATGAACACTGCGACTCCTGTTGTCTCGGTAGGGTTGTCAAAATCCTTCGTCCGTTGTGTCATATTGTCTCATATAAAATCGTACAGATACTTTTTTGGGGAGCGTGTGTACATTAATTTCTCCAGTAGCTTTGGTTATTCCGGGGGTCGACTGATGAGGTAGTAAACATTGGTGCCAGAGAGAGGAAGGAGAAGAGACCACCAAGAACTGCCTGGGAACACACCACACAGTTATAATAAACACTAACTGTTCTTCCGACACGGTGCCACTGTAGCAAGGAATTAACTAACACGTCGAGTGCCATTTCCCAGCTGGTAAAACTATTGCTGTGAGATACTGTCATTAATGCCACTATAACTGACAGTTTACGTCCACAGAGTCGTCAACCATCTCATGCCACTGGTGGTGACAGAATCTGACAGGTAACCTTTCGAGTGTCATTTCCAAGATGGTGCCACCAACCGCCGAGACTGAGAGCCGTTCAAGCACACACACCTAACCTTTACAGTGTTGGGACTACTGAAGGCGTCAGCCAACCAACAAGGAGCCTCACGTCCCACGCTGACTATGTACAACAACAACAACGTTCTGTTTATCTAGTAATATCTCCATCTTCTACCCTACTACTAACCACTGATGGCTCACACTCACTCACACACACACATACACGGCCAAAAACTAGCCCGTGTACAGAAGACAATTTAGAATACAACCATTACCAGATGACGTTACACTGTCTTGCGCCGCCGACTCACCCAACATGAGTTCGTCCCTATATACTGTACAGGTAATACTTGTAGCTGTGTAAAATATTTAAATTCACTACAAGTAACTTATCTACTGAGGAACTTTATAATAACTAAAATAAACAACTTTTCTAATTAACTCACCTGAGGAGGCCCTAGATCCAGGTGGCTGGCCGAAATAGGCGGCTGAATTGGCACCCAACTCTGCCCGTGACCCCCCATACTGCTGCTGCCCCCAGCACCTGCGCCCAGGCCACTGTTCTGTGGGAGGCGGTGAGACCAACCAGGCGTCTACCATGTGTCGGAGGCCTTCCTGTAGAGAGGAAAATACCACAGCAATTAGTAGAGTATTTACTGAGACAGCACAGGTGTAAACAAAAACACACACACACACACACACACACACACACACACACACACACACACACACAGTCAAGTCATTTCACCAAAAAACAAAAACATTATCAATAATTTCAAAATTGATTGAAGGAAAATAACGTCATCAAAGCATGCACAAATATTCAGGAAAGACATAACACACCTGTGGAGTCCTGGCTGAGGGAAGAGGGAGATCTGCACCAGCCGTCTCCACTTTTTCCTGGAGAATATATGGGAAAAGGAAGAAATCCCAAGCTCTAAAGATGCCTATCGTCAATATTTATAAGAACAAGGGAGACCGGTCAGACTGTGGCAAACACAACGGGATATCGCTGTCCAGCTGGCAAGATTATCACCCAAGTCCTCCTAAACTGACTTCTTCCTGAGGCGGAAAACTTCCTCCCAGAATCTCAATGTGGCCTTAGACCATCACGTGGCACCACTGAAATGATCTTTGCTGCCCGCCAGATACAGGAAAAGTGCAGGGAACAGCGTGGTGACCTGTACATGGCTTTCATCGCCCTAACCAAGGCCCTCGACTCGGTCAACAGGGAAGCCCTCTGGTGGACTCTCAGCCGTTTTGGCTGCCCCCCCAAATTCATCGCCATTGTGAGGCAACTCCACGATGATATGAACGGCAGTGTCCTACACAATGGTACCCAGTCAGAGTTCTTTCCCATCATAACGGGGGTTAAACAAGGGTGTGTACTGGCACCAACTCTCTTTTCCATTTTCTTGGCTGCCTTCCTTACTCGAGTCAGTGCCAATTTAGCTGGTGGGGTGGACGTCGAGTACCGGATGAAGGGTCTTTTCAACATAAGACGACTCCAGGCAAGAACAGAGGTGTCGGCAGCTTCCATTACTGAGCTGGTAGACGACCTCACTCTGGTTGCTCACATTGAACATGACCTACAGGAGATCCTGAACACCTAAACAGATGTGTATGCACACTTCGACCTTGTGGTGAATGTACTGTTACGAGCAATGTACAGGTAGGATAGAACTACCCTTAACAAACAATTTATTTTTCCAGACTAGAATTACATCGTTTTGTTTTTGTGTATGTTAATAGTTTATATTATTAAAGTCAGTAACACTGTAATAACATTAACAATGAGACGTTATGTCAAGTACGATGTTTGGGTCAGTCAACAACCCATAAAAGCAGAGGGTTTCAGAGCCGGCTTTGAGTTAGGCACAAGCTTGGGTAACCTCTTGACCTTTACACTGGCCTGTGTTGTCAGTTGACTTCTGTCTTCGATCGATCGGGTGATGTACTTATGGTGTTCATTGTTGAGGCTGGCTGTATTTAGTGTTTTATGTATTCAGTGTTTTATGTATTTTTGTTCTTGAATCGTGTATTGATTTACTTGTCAGTGATATTAGCAAACTTAAAGTAACCTAGTGATTAGCTTTATTTCTTTGGTATTAGTGATAAGCGTTTGAAAATATAGTTATACATTTTATTCAAGTTTCTTTACTCCAATCATCAAGTATTCATTTATTATAAGGGGCTGCATTCAATCCATACATTACACCGTAGTTGGGAGTTGTTCCCGATAAAAATTTGAGAACCATATATGTAGTTCCCTTTAAATATCTTCACTTTTTGTTTGTTACGAGCCGTAATCCTTTGACACGTAACAATATGTAAGACTCAGATTCTCTGTCAACCTGCCCCTGGTTCAGACACACCTCCACCATCTATCCAGCTTAACACTACTACCCTCACTAATGTTACCCACTTTCGGTAACTCAGCTCCCACCTGTCCACCACAGTGGACATCGATGGAGAGATTCTGCATCGGATCAGATGTGCATCTCAAGTCTTTGGCAGACTCCGAAACCGTATCTTCAGCTGTAGGGAGCTGAAATTACACATATATCGAGCAGTAGTCCTCCACCCCTGCTATATGGCAGCGAGACATGGGTCACATACAGGAGGCACCTCAAGGCACTTGAAAGCTTTCACCAACGTAGTCTACGATCCATCCTCCGAGTTCGCTTGGAAGACATGAGAACAAATGTCAGTATTCTTGTCGACACCAACTGTAGGAGCATTGAGGCTACCATTATCCATGAACAACTACTCTGGACTATGTTACCCGCATGGACGACAGTAGACTGCGCAGCAGCTACTTTACAGTCAAATAACGAATAGTAAACGTAACACTGGCGGGCAACTAAAAAGGTATAAGGACAGTCTTAAGACAAACCTGAAAAAGTGCCAAATCGACCCCAACACCTCGGAAACGATTTCTCCACACCGTAACGCTTCGAGGATCACCACACGAGAAGGTGTCAATACTTTCGAGTTAGCCCGACTGCAAACCGAGGCAGACAAGCGCCAAAGCCGGAAAGATGCTGCCACCGCTCCTCCCGCACTCGCTGTAGCCCTCCACATGTGCAACATCTGTGATCGATCCTGCTGGTCTCATATCGGCCACTTGAGTCACCTCAAAACTCACCAATGAAGGTGACGCCCTGGGGGGGACTCTTTCCCTCTTTCTCTTTTCTGTTTCTCCTTTTCCTTTTCTCTCTATTTCTCTCCTTTCTTCTGACGGTCTCTCTCTCTCAGAACCGTGTTAATATTTACCTTAAAGAGACTGTATATATACAGACTACGACAGGGTAAACCAATCAGGGGAGATCTCATCGAAAGCAAGAACTCTGATTCGCTATGTGAGAGCCCCAGTTACTGCCACACATACAACGTCTCTTTTGAGTAACTGATTGGCTGACTCGATGACTGACTGACTGACTGACTGACTGAGGGAAGGAGGTACAAAGATAGGTGGTGATGAAGAGGTAGGGGAGGATGTGAGATGAGGAAAGGAAGAGGAAAGGAGGAAGAGGAAGGAAGGAAGGAAGGAAGGAAGAAGGGAGAGGGAGGAAGGAGGGAGAGAATGGAAGGAAGGAAGGAAGAAAGGAGGGAGAGGGAGGAGGAGGAGAATGGAAGGAAGGAAGGAAGGAAGGAAGGAGGAGAGAGGGAGGAAGGAGGGAGAGAATGGAAGGAAGGAAGGAAGGAAGAAAGGAAGGAAGGAAGGAAGGAAGGAAGGAGGGAGAGGGAGGAAGGAGGAGAGAGAATGGAAGGAAGGAAGGAAGGAGGGAGAGGAAGGAAGGAGGAAGAGGAAAGAAGGAGGAAGAGAATGGAAGGAAGGAAGGAAGGAGAGGGAATGAAGGAGGAGAGGGAGGAAGGAGGGAGGGAGGGGAAGGAGGGAGAGGGAGGAAGGAAGGAAGGAAGGGAGAGAGGAAGGAAGAGAGAGAAAGGAAGGAAGGAGAGAGGAAGGGGAAGGAAGGGGAGGAGGAAGGAAGGAAGGGAGGGAGGGGAAGTAGGTAAGTGGAGCAGGTGAACAAGAGAACCAATCTAATGGAACAGGTGAACTAATTATCTTACCTGATGAAGTAATCGTGTACAAAATCTTGGTGCTCGTCCAGCCACGCCTCCATGCGCGCGCACTCTGGGTCGTAGTTGAGGAGAGGCTGGTGAGGTGCCCCGCCTCCGCCCGCCCATCGTCAGGTCTCCACCAATAGGCATGGCTCCTGGCACTGCGGGATCCCCACTGCTACCGTCTCCGGACCCTCCCCCTTGGCTGTTCTTGACCTCATCGCTGTGGTTACCCCAACCTGTAAACGGGAGACAGGTAAGGTTGAGATTGGTTTGATTAGGTTATGTTAGGGTAGGTTAGGTTAGGTGGTTGGCTGTGGTGCTTACACCATTAGTACTTACTCACCTTAACTCATAAACTATGCTACTATTAATAACAACAACAATAATAACAGTAATGGTGAAATTAATAATAATAATGACAACAACAACGACAACAACAATAATAATAATAACACTAATAACAATACTACTACTACTACTACTACTACTACTACTACTACTACTACTACTAATACTACTAATACTAATAATAATAATAATAATACAATAATAATAATAATAATAATAATAATATAACAAGAAAGACCATCGTATTCCCAGGAGACAGACAGACAGAGACGCCAACTTTCCGTCTTCTCAACATATATCCCCAGGCATTACTTCACATGCCAGACACACCTGACAAAGAGACTGTAACACTTTTATAAACACAACACAGCACAGCACAACACAGCACAGCACAACAGAACACAACACAAGACGTCGCAAATGTTGGTGATTTACAGACGTGATGAAAATAAAATGTAAATTATAATGGTAGACAGTTTGTGATGTTTATGTTAATTTATTGGATTTATTATGTTAGTCATCATGTTAAACATCATGACTTAAACATCAACAACACAACACCCACACACACACCCACACCCACACCCACACACCCACACCCACACCCACACCCACCACACACACACACACACCCACACACACACACACACACACACACACACACACACACACACACACACACACACACACACACACACACACACCCCACACCCACACACACACACACACACACACACACACACACACACACACACACACACACACACACACGCAAAATCTCAGGAAAAAAGTCAATATTATTTACAACTAAACAATACATTAATACCTTCCCTAATCATCTTTGCTAACCTGAGGACAGACGGACAGACAGTCAAGGTCTTCTACCACACAACAGAGGTAATGAGAAGACACTTATAAATAAACAAACAAACACTGATCAAAGCAAGATGAAGAGAGAGAGAGAGAGAGAGAGTAAAACTGATCTATTATCTAAGAGACAAGTAAATACAGACAGACACAGAAAATGGTGAAGCTTCACAGAGTCAACAGGAACATCTCAGTAATCTACACAAATATGATAATTATTGCGTATCGGGTGGCGTAAATGACAGACAGACACACCAGCACAGCAGAGGGTGGTAGAGTCGGGCGAGTGGGCGGCGTGGGCGGCTAGTGGGCGGGGGTGCCACGCCTCCTGTCGCCAGTGCTGCCACCTCCTACGACGCCCGTGACCATCGTCGTGGTGCTGCACCTGGTGGGGGGGATGGTGGAGGTGGAGGTGGTGGCGTATGCTGGCCTCCTCTTGCTGCTGCTGCTGCTGCTGCTGCTGCTGCTGCTGCTGCTGCTGCTGCTGCTGCTGCTTGCCACAGTTGAGCAGGACGTTGGGCGCCTGACCCATCCCTGGTGGGGGCCAGGAACCATGACAGTCTCACTCCCTCACCATCTCTTCACCCCCCTTCTCCTCTTCCTCCCTGTTCACGCCCTCACTCCTCCAATCCTCCCCCACACCACCTCCTCACCACACCACCTCCACACCACACCACCTCCACACCACACCACCTCTTCTCTGCTGAACAAGTCGGGTTCTTCTTCAGGTTCTCCAGCAGGTATTGTATGAAGGCTTTACTGACCAACGCTTCAGCAATGACAGGTGTACACAGGCTGTGTTCACGGCTCAGCACTAACACTCTAACACATATTTACACCCCGTTACGGTGACACCAGTAACTTGTTTGAAAAGTGTTAACTTCACTGCGTCTTGTCGCCAGGTTACACCGTCAGTGGTTGGTGTCTTTTTATCAGGCACTACGTGATGTCTTACACAAACACAGTAATCACAGCTTATTCAGTTAGTGAGCAGAATATTTCTCTCCTGGTTAAACTGAGACTCGGCCAGTTGTGCCTCTCACTCTCCACCTGTCACCTATATCACTCACACTTTAACATATTTGCAAACTTTACACTCAAATTTCGAAGCGTTTATTTCACCCAAATTGTTCACTATATCAAAAACACCTTTGGAAGTTGTTACAAAAAAAATTATTCGTTTCTTTCCAGCAAAAATTCCAGCATTTCTTCAGTTTCGTATAAAATGTCATGACTCAAGCAATTCTCCCTGACAGAAATATGAGCAGTGAATATTCGACTTGTGATTAAGTTATTTAGGAGCGTCGCGGAGGCCACCAGCAGCGAGGCCAACACACCACCTGATTACAGGTATTTGGTGCACAACTGACGACGACTACCCCTGCAGCAGCCACCAGCCACACGACCCCTGCAGCAGCCACCAGCCACACGACCCCTGCAGCAGCCACCAGCCACACGACCCCTGCAGTAGTCAGCCAGCCACGACCCTCCAGCAGCCACCAGCCACCTGCAGCAGCCACCAGCCACACGACCCCTGCAGCAGCCACCATGCACACGACCCTGCAGTGGTCAGCCAGCACACGACCCTGCAGCAGCCACCAGCCACACGGCCCTGCAGCAGCCACCAGCCACACGACCCCTGCAGCAGCCACCAGCCACGGCCTGCAGCAGCCACCAGCCACAGCCTGCAGCAGCCACCAGCACGGCCCTTGCAGCAGCCACCAGCCACGACCCCTGCAGCAGCCACCAGCCACGGCCCCTGCAGTAGTCAGCCAGCCACACGGCCCCTGCAGCAGCCACCAGCCACACTACCTTGCAGCAGCAGCCACCAGCCACGGCCCTACAGCAGCCACCAGCCACACGCCTACAGTAGTCAGCCAGTCCACGACCCCTGCAGCAGCCACCAGCCACGACCCCTGCAGCAGCAGCCACGACCCCTGCAGTAGTCAGCCAGCCACACGACCCCTGCAGCAGCCATCAGCCACACAGGCCCTTGCAGCAGCCACCAGCCACATGAAACACTGCAGCAGCCACCAGCCACGACCCCTGCAGCAGCCACCAGCCACACGACCCCTGCAGCAGCCACCCAGCCACACGACCCCTGGCTCACCCACCTCCTCTCTTACATCAACATCCACTTGAGCTGTGACCACCTTGATTGATATATTACCCCCTTATCCACATCTTTCACTTCAATCCGACACCTCACGTCCACCGCCAACAACCACACTATTCGCCACCATCCACTTAACCCACAACACTGTCAGGCAATTATCCTGTGGTCTCAACCGAGGCAGTAAGGACGGCTGGAGCGGGTTAGGTCTGTCCAGGCGTGATAATCTATAAACCACTGCTGTCACCATATACCAATCTAACACCCGGTTCTTCTCCCTCCTCTCCTTGAATATGATGCATCTCTTTGTGTACGAACCTCTGTCCTGCATGGCAGTGAACAGTGACATTACCAACATGACTCTGACCTATATATACTGTTAATGAATATGATGTATTTCTTTGTCTATGAACCTCTGTCCTGCGTGGCAGTGAGAAGTGATACCACCCTCAGTGTCAAGACCTAACTGAATTACTCAGAATAGGCAAACTGTACTACAAGCTTTGTCAATAAATTTGTTAAACTAAAAAATATTACCTCCTCCTCTTTTCTCTCTCTCTTTCAACAGACACTTTCTACTCACTCCAGCTTCTTGGGTGTACTTCGTTTCTCCAATAAATAATATACGTTCATATTCTCTCCCTTATTGGAATTTCTCAATCATTCTCTTGTTAGTTTAATCCTCTCTCAATCTTCAACATTATTCACATCACTGTAAAAGTTCAAACTGCAAGAGACAAAGACAAAACAAACAAAATATTCACGTATCATTATACTCTAAAAAATATATATAAATACACTAACAAAAACATTTCAGTATACTACATACAAAAAATACAAATCATCAATAACTATTCCAGGAAAATAAACAATACATCAATAAATACTCATACAAAAAAAAAATACAAATAAAATTCACGGTATATTTTTTTTAACATCAGTTGGCGACCAAAACAACAAGTCAGGTTTACCAATAACAGGTGTTGATGGCCTCCTCTGAACACCTGATAAGTTCACTATTCAAAGGTTATATTTACACACAGCTAACGCATTATGTCTAGTAGGCTCTCTCTCTCTCTCTCTCTCTCTCTCTCTCTCTCTCTCTGTCATAACATCTCATATGGGGAGTTCAAGATCAGATTCCAGCAACTCTTCCGCTATGTTGCTTCCCCGCTCGTCTAATCTCTCGACACAGGGGGATTCTCTCTACCTCTCCCGCCTACCCCCCCCCCTTACCTCACCTCTCACCAGCCCTGTCCTCAACACCCGTAAATAGTATAAGGTATGGTAGGGTATAAGGTATGGTAGAATTATAAGGTATGGTAGGGTATAAGGTTATGGTAGAGTTATAAGGTATGGTGGGTATAAAGGTATGTTGTTGGGGTATAGGGTATGGTAGGGTATAAGGTATGATGGTAGGGTATAAAGTATGGTAGGGTTATAAGGTATGGTGAATTTATAAGGTATAGTGAAATTATAAGGTATGGTGGGTATAAGGGTATGGTAGGGATTATATTATATGGTAGGGTATAAGGTATGGTAGGGTATAAGGTATGGTAGATTATAAGGTATGGTAGGGTATAAGGTATAGTAGGGTGCATAAGGTATGGTAGGGATTTATAAGGTTTGGTGGGGTATAAGGGGTATGTGGTAAGGATTATAAGGTATGTAGTAGAATTATAGTATGGGGTATAAGGTGGGTAGGGTATAAATTATAGTGGAATTATAGGAATAAGTGAGGTATAAGGTATTAGAGAAATAAAAGTATGGTGATTATATAAAATTATGAGTAGGTTATAAGGTATGGTAGAGAATTGTAAGGTATGGTAGGTATAAGGTATGGTGAGATTATATAGGGTATGGTGGGGTATAAGGTATGGTAGGGTATAAAAGGTATGGTAGATGAAGGTATGGTGGGGTATAAGGTATGGTGAGTATAAATTGTGGGATTATAAGGTGTGGTAGGGTATAAGGTATAGATTTGAATTATAAAGTGTGGTGGTTGAGTATAGTAGAATTATAGAGGTATGGTGGGTATAAGGTATATGGTAGGTATAAGGTATGGTAGGTATAAGGTATGGTAGAATTATAAGGTATGGTAGGTATAGGGTATACAATGGGGTATAAGTATGGAGGGTATATATATTATGTGGGGTATATATATAAGGGTATGGTAAGGTGGTGTATGGTAGGGTATAAGGTATAGTGGGGTATAAGGTATGGTAGGTTATAAGGTATTGGTAAGGTGGTATATATAGAAAGGGGTATATGGTAGAGAATTATAAGGTATGGTGAGGGTATAAGTATAATATGGTGGGGTATAAGGTATGGTAGGGTTATAAGGTATGGTAGGGATTATATGGTAGGGTATGTGGTAGAGTATAAGAATTATATAATTGAATTATAAGGTATATGTGGTAAGGGGTATAAGGTATGGTGGGGTATATGTGTATGGTGGGGTATAAAAGTATGGTAGGGTTTATATGGTATATATAGTGGTGTATAAGGTATGGTGGGTATAGAGATGTTATGTGGTAGAATTTATAAGGTATGGTAGGGTGGGTATGGTGGGGTTATAGGTATGGTAGGGTTATAAGGTATGGTGGGGTAGGTTGGTGGGGTGTAGGGTATGGTGGGTTAAGGTATGGTAGGGTATAAAGGTATGGTGGGGTATATAGGGTATGGTGGGTTATAAGATATGGTGGGGTATAAGGTATAGTAGGGTGTGGGTATGGTAGAGATTATAAGGTGTGGTGGGTTATAAGGTTATGGGGTTATAAGGTATGGTAGGATATAAGGTATGGTGGGAATTATATATAAGGTATGGTGGGGTATAAGGTGTGGGTATAAAGGTGTAATTATGAGATTATATAAAGAATGGTGGGGTTAAAGGTATGGTGGGATGGGGTATGGTAGGTTATAGGGTGTGGTAGGGTATAAGGTATGGTAGGGTATAAGGTATGGTAGGGTATAAGGTATGGTAGGGTATAAAGTTATGGTAGGAGTATAAGGTATGGTGGAGATTATAAGGTATGGTAGGGTATAAGGTATGGTAGGGTATAAGGTATGGTAGGATTATAAGGTATGGTAGGGTATAAGGTATGGTAGGGTATAAGGTATGGTAGGGTATAAGGTGTGTGATTATTTCAAGTCATCAGGGAGGATTTGTACGCTGATGGATGCAGTATCTGTTGAAAGTTGTGTTCGTCGACATTTCCCAGAATTTCTCGCAGTGTTAATGAGTTACTGGGGAAGGAAACCTTGACAGGACTTACTCTTTGATGAGAAAATTCAGAAGGTTCATCCACCCCTTGTTTGATGACAGTATTTTTTTATTCACGTGATCAAAGGGAACAAGTTAATTGGTGTTCCCATTTCAATACACACACACACGCTGATGCTGCTGCTGGTGGTACATTATCATTATCGTCGGTGAGGCTGTAGATAAGGTTGTTTACTCTAGACTTAACCATTTAACGATCAGGTCTAAGTATATTCATAAAAAAAA